TCTATGCATCTCTCTACCACAGTGCCTACCAAATCATATTAGAATTCTTTGTGTGTTTCTGTCTCCTCTCCAGCTTGCCTAGTCTCTGAGAGTGGGGATCACTCTACCTTCCATACTCAGCACAGAGCTGGGCCATGGTATCCACCATCTTTAGTTCTACTCGTGTTCATGCCTCAACCCAACACAGCATGGCTCTCCCTCAGACCCCAGTGATCTCCTGCCAGCTCCTGGACTCTTCCACTGCACTGATACTTGACCACACACTGCTTCTCAAAGCCCTGCTCCTTGGATTTCCAGACCTCCAGTCCCCTCTATTTCTCCTACCGCCCTGCACGGTCTTTCTGTTGCTCCCTCCTCCACCCCAGAGGACGATCACCCCAGGAAGCCCTTCTCTGTCTCTAGGTACTCACTGGGCATCTCATCAGCTGTAAGGCCCCATATTCTGAAATTTCCAAATGGAGATCATCAGCCCTGATCTCTCCCCAACGTTCCCAACTCAGATTTCCAGCTGCCACCCAATAGCTCAACCAAGATGCCCCTAGATACCTCATACTTCCTGCCCTGCTTTGCCTTCCAAATGTGGGTGGGTTGATGGCATCCATCACTGTCCAGCCAGCTTCCCAGGCTGCAAATTCCAGTCATCCATTCCCCCTTCTTAATCATCTACAGCTCCCCACCTCTTTGGTCCACCTCATTCAAATTCTAGGGATTTTGCCTCAGAAGTTTCTCTCAAACCCAGCCCCTCCCTTCCACCACACCTGTCACTGTCTTAGTTGGGGCTCTCATCACATTATCACAGTATCGTATTATCTCTGTGACTCACTGAGGTTGGACACAAAGCCTGTTTCCCTCAAGATAAAAAAAATTTAGAAATATGTACATACATGTTAACTATATAGTTATATTTATATAGTTAATATATATGTATATGTATTAAACATATGCAAATAATAAAATTCAAATGATACCAGAAATACAATGAAATCTCCTACCCATAGAAGCAACCGCTATTATTTCTTGGGTATTCTCCAGAGATCTCCTATGGATACACAGGGGGGGAAAAGCAAGTTATTTCCTAAAACCTTTCACAAATGGAAGATGCACAGACAGACACACATGCGAGAAATGGAGGTTGGCATGTGCAGCACTGGGCGGAAAAGTTGACCCACATGGTCTGGGGCAGGGTGAGTAGATCAAATACCAAAGCAGGCAGCAGTGGCGGGGGGGAGGGGGGTTGTTGGGCCTCATTTTTGGAGACCTTCGTCCCCTGACACTTAGCCCCTACACCAATTATCAGGATCCCCTCACATGTGAACAGTTACTGATGGTTTTTAAAATGGTTTCATCTCCTCTTGTCTCTTTCCAGTGTGAAATACTGTGAAGTGCTGACATGGGCGACAACGTTCTGAAGGGCTGCCTTGCCTACTGGGTAGCAGCTGGCATGCGAAAACCTCACCTCATGTTCTCCTTGCTCAATGCCCACTTTTCTTGAGGGCATTCTTTAACCACTCAGCAGTCAGAACTCTCTTGGCTTCCCAGAGCACTCTGGCCACACTTTTCTTTCTACTTTTTCCTAATTTAGCAGGAAAAAAAATAGTCTAACAATATTAAAGAATTATTAAAGCAAATCCCAGCAACCTAAAACAATTTTCATTTTGTGTGCTACTCTCTGTACATGCAATGTCATTGCTATCAGAGTACACATGCTCTTGTAAAACTGTTTTCTATTTGTGAGGGAGTCCACTTCTCATATTTCCAGCCCCTTGAGTATAAGAACTGAGTTATAGTCATCTTTGTATCTTGGCACCCAAAATAAAGCCGAGAACATAGGGAGGGCTTGGCAGTTGTTTGTCAGAAACTGCTCTGGTAAACACAGGAAGAGGCAAACAGCATGCCCAGCACTCACAGCAGTGTTAAGTCATATAAAGAAATGAAATACACAACTTGCAAAATGGCCAACAGAGAAATAAACTGACATGCACACTTGAGGAATGTTCCAAGAAGGGGAACAGGGGCAGAACAGCTGTTAAGTTCTCATGAGGCCATATACTCCCCTTGGGGAGCTCCTGAACCTTTCTGAGTCTCAACCGAGTACCCAGATTAACAACATAGGTAAGGTCCAGGCAGTGTCTGGCGCGATGTGTATGCTAAGTAAACATGAGTTGCCCCCTCCTTATCTGGAAATGTGGTCAGGGAACTACCAGGAAAGAAACAGGGACGATGCTAAGTGGAGCAAAGCAAAAACACAGGCAAAACAAACAAACAAAAAACAAACAAAAAACCCACGGAAGCCTGGGGGATGCAACCCTGAGATGATAGGCCATGCAAAGATCATACCACTGGGTAGTGCCTGGCTTGGGAGAACCACCGCATTTTATGTTACAACAAACTACTGCTATCTCCAGATCCATTCAGTCAGGAACTTGAATTTCCCCTGAAAACACCCTCAATGCCAAAGCCCAAGGGAACAAAGCACCGGGCACTGGAAACATATGTGACCAGAAGGCTGGTGCTCCCAGCTGAGAAGTGGCTTCTAGTCCAAGCTGTCCGTTATAAGAGTCTGAGGGCCCCTGGTGATCCTATCACGATTCTCAACCTCCAGAGGCCAGACAACCCCTGCAAGGTTTTAGGCTTTCTTACAAATTTTGAGGAAAGGACCAACACTCTCAACTTTTTGGTTCCTGGCACTCTCTTCTTCCCACTGATTTAGAAGCCACACTTTCTATTTCTACCCACAGAGGGAACCACCATTCTGAAATTTTTCACTATAGATGAGCTCCACCTGTTCTAGAACTTCACAGAAACGTAATCATGGGGCACTCGGATGACTGAGTAGTAGGTTGAGTGTCTGACTCTTGATTTTGCCTCAGGTTGAGATCTAGCCCCATGTTGGGTTCCACTTAGAGTGGAGTCTGGGACTCTCCCTCCTGCTACCTGCCCTCCCACTCAAATGCACTCCCTCTCTAAATAAATTTTTTAAAAATGTAATCATGCCATCCACATTCTTTAGCATCCGGATTCTCATTTCAGAGACTTATCAGTGGTGGTGCAAGTATCAGGAGTTTGTCCCTTTCTATTGTTGAGCAGCATTCTCTCCTCTGAACAAATCTGTTTAGCTAGCTCCGTCCTGATGGCACCTGGGTTATTCCCAGCTTGGGGCCACTGTGAAGAAAACTGCCATGTAGTCATGTCAAGTCTTTTTGTAGACTTACTTTCCTTAAGTACTTAGGTCTGAGGTGGATGTTTAATTTTACAAGAAAGGGCCGGAACAGACCCTTTCCCTGAGATGTACCAGTGCTCACTCCCAACAACAATGTACAGAAGTTCCAGTACCTCTACCTCCTTGCCAGTGTACAGTGCTGTCATTTTCATTTTATTAAAAAAATTTTTGGGATCCCTGGGTGGCGCAGCGGTTTGGCGCCTGCCTTTGGCCCAGGGCGCGATCCTGGAGACCCGGGATCGAGTCCCACATCGGGCTCCTGGTGCATGGAGCCTGCTTCTCCCTCTGCCTGTGTCTCTGCGCCTCTCTCTCTCTCTGTGACTATCATAAATAAATAAAAATTAAAAAAAAATTTTTTTTTAGCCATTCTAGCTAGAGTGAAGCACTTTTCATTGTAGTTTTAATTCAGACTTCTTGGTGACTAATGATGTTGAGCACTTACCTCTGCACTTACTCGACTTCCTTTATGTTCAATTCAGTGGCTTCTTAGAATATCCCCAAGGTGGTGCAACTATCACTGCTACCTAATTTTAGAATATTTTCATGACCTCCAAAACCTGTACCCATCAGTGGTCACTCTTCAGTCCCTCTTCCCCTCACGCATGGGCAACTGCTTATTCTAATTCCTGACTTTATGGATCTGCCTTTTCTGGACACTTCATAGAAGCAGAATCACACAGCATGTAGCCTGCGGAGACTGGCTTCCTTCACTGAGCACAATATTTTCAAGGTTCATCCATGCTGTACATGTCTATTTTGCTTCTTTTGTGGCTGAATAATATCCCATTGTATTGGCAGACCTCATTTGGTTTTTGCATTCATCAGTTGATGGAACATTTAGGTAAAATGACTTTTATATCAAGAATTTGGAACTACTGGGCAGCCCTGGTGGTGCAGTGGTTTGGTGCTGCCTGCAGCCCAGGGCGTGATCCTAGAGACCCAGGATCGAGTCCCACATCAGGCTCTCTGCATGGAGCCTGCTTCTCTCTCTGCCTGTGTCTCTGCCTCTCATTCTTTCTCTGTGTCTCTATAAATAAATAAATAAATAAATAAATAAATAAATAAATAAATAAATAAATAAATAAAATCTTTATAAAAAAAAATTTGGAACTCCTGCTGGCTATCTTGTTTCCAAGAGTCTTTATCACGTGACAAGGCATTAGAAACAACAACAGACAGGGCCACCTGGGTGGCTCAGTGGTTAAGTCAGCCTTCGGCTCAGGGTGTGATCCTGGACTCCTGGGATGGAGTCCTACATCGGGCAGGCTCTCTGCGTGGAGCCTGCTTCTCCCTCTGCCTATATCTCTGCCTCTCTTTCTCTGTCTCTCATGAATAAATAAATAAAATCTTAAAAAAAAAACAGGAAACAACAACAAACAAATAGGAGACTCATCAGTGCCATTCCTTTCTTCTGGGTATCAACTACTTTTCCACTTATTCCAGTTAGTGGGCTGTTTTTTGTTTGTTTGTTTTCATGCATGTGTGTGCAGTTTATAATCATTATTTGTGGAAGGGCTGGCCTGATATAAGCTACTCCACCACTATAGGAAGTGACCTCTGAGCATACTGCCCATCACCTTTTCTCCATTTTGGTAATAGTACTCCAATTTCTCTTTGGGAAACTGTCCTTCACCTTGGTTCCAAAGATGGGTACATGATCGTACATGAGCGTATTCCATTCTCCCTAACCACCATGACTGGCTCAGGAAGGGGTATGTGACCCAGGTCTGGTCCAAATCAACTTGAGATCTTTAGCTAGGAGTCATCTGCAAAGTAATACCTCTTTCAGCTGGTTGTCAAGAGAGTAGCAGCGAAGCCTGGAACTGATGGAGGCCTTTGCCTGCCTGACCAAGAAGCCAACATGGAGAGAAACAGAGCTGAAAGATATTAAAAAATCCTGGTGACGTTAGTTAGGTTTCCTGATATAACCGTCCCTGAAGCTGTTATGCCCAGGGCTTTTCAGTTAAGTCTAACAGATACTCCTTTTCTGCTTGGACTGGTCTGGGTTCCCTTTTTCTTAACTGCAACTGAGATGTCTAATAGGTAATTCTAGGGACAAAGAATGTATTACCTGCTAATCACCCAGGCAAAACCTGTTCTGTAGCTCCTTTTCTAGAAGCCAAAGCCTAATATAAACAAATCCAAACATCCTGCACTTAAACCCCTCTAACATTAATCTTACAGGGCTCAAGACAATAAGAGTTCTGTTCTGAATCAAAGGGAAGAAAGTCCTCTAAGACCTACTCTCAGATCCCATACTATTAATCTGGCCATCATCAACAATGATCTACTTTCATCGTCTGGTTTGAAAAAAAAAATTAAGGAGATGATGATTCCTTTCCCCTAGTACCTACCATGCTTCTAGACCAAAGCTTACACAGGGAGTTTCTGACTGAAACCTTAGAGCAATCCCATAAGCACACCCTCTTTATAGCTGGGGAAACAAGTTCAGATTGGTTAAATTATGCCAGGTGACTTGGGAAATACAGGGAGTTGCAAAGCTGTAAACTCTAAAATCTGTGCTCTCCCTCTCATTTTCAAGCTTTGTAACAAGTTCAGCTTATTCAGTAGCAAAAGAGATCATGGAAATAGAATCATTTTGTCTACTGGAAATTGTCAATCAACTGTTAGGTTATTAAGATTGCACTTAAAGAGTATCACCGAGAAGATGATGATTCATAGTAGCATCTGATAAAAAGAGGTAGAAAAATAAAGGTCATCATGATAGTTATTTCTTACTGAATTACCTACTATGTACTAAGCAGTTTTATGCTGATGACTCCATCTAACTCTCCTAACAGTCCTGCAGAGTAAGTGCTGTACTCTTCATTTAGCACTGTGGAGGCCAGGGTCTTGGAGAAATCAGGGACTTTATCCAGGTCACACGAGTAATAAGTGGCAGAGGTAGAATTCAAATCCAGATCTGTCTGACTCTATGACCTAACTCTTAAGGCTCAAACAGCCCTTGTATGATCAACATCCAAATCCTGTTAGTTCAATGTTCAAAAAACTAGCTTCTACTCCACAGACACAGAGACACCACAAATCTTTTTTTTTTTTTGTAAGATTTTATTTATTTATTCATGAGAGACAAAGAGAGGCAGAGACATAGGCAGAGGGAGAAACAGACTCCTCACAGGGAGCCTGATGTGGGGGACTCGATCCACAGACCCCCAGACCCCGGGATCACGCAGTGAGCCAAAGGCAGATGCTTAACTACTGAGCCACCCAGGCATCCCAAGACCACAAATCCTAAAATGATGCAAACTGGGTATTTTTTTTCCAATGCAGAAGATACATCAAAATTCTTTTTTTTTTTTGATACATCAAATTCTATAGGAGATTTATTTTCATTCATTTCATTTCAAAGACTCATTTAAAATCTTTGTAAGGGGAGCCTGGGTGGCTCAGTCAGTTAAGTGTCTGCCCTTAGCTCAGGTCATGATCCCGGGGTCCTGGGATCAAGCCCTGCATCAGGCTCTTGGTTCAGTGGGGAACCTGCTTCTCCCACTCCCTCTAACTGCCGTGTGTGCACGCTCTCTGTCCCTGTCAAATAAATAAATAAAATAGTTCAAAAAAGTAAATAAAATCTTTTTAAGAGTGTTTGTTGTTGTTGTTGTTGTTGTTGTTTTTAAGAGTCTTTGTATACAAATTAAGAAATGAGGTTAAAAAGGCCTGTGACTTACTACATGTCCCCATTTCCAGCCCCAGAAATTTGGGTCACTAAAACTATGGATGCTGATGGACCCTACCCACTGAGAACAGGGTGCCTCATGGTTGGGCCAGTTATTTATAAAAGATACACTGTAGTTTACAAAATACTTTTAAGTTTTTTTTTTTTTAAGTTTATTTATTTAAACAATCTCTACATCCAACATGGGGCTTGAACTCAGGGCCCCAAGATCAAGAGCCACATGCTTCTCTGACTGAGCAGGCCAGGCGCCCCTACAAAACAATTTCAAGGCAATGCTTCAGATCCTGGATAGCCAGCCCCTCTCAAACAGCAATACCACATAATCATACTAAGCAATGTCAGTGCCCGCATCCCAAACAAGCACAGACTTCCATGCTTCTGTTATGCCTGCCTGAAATGCCTTTTGATCCTTTCCCCACTTCCCCCTGGGTCTCAAATTTGCTCATCTTTCAAGGTACAAATCAACTGGCAGCAAAGTTAACACTTCAAGAGTTGTACTTGTCAACCTTCTCACACCACAGCACACACAGTACAAAATACTTCTGGTAACATTTGTGTGGCACACTCAGGTAAAAGGCAAAGCTGCTCACAGCTGGAAAAGTATGGCAGGGGGATCTGGCTGCCCCAGGCCCCACTCATCTGCCCTGATGCCAAGGGCAGTCAAAACTTTCAAAGCATGGTATACAAACTTCTATTCTTGCATTGTCACACATACATTGAGAGACTATTTCACTTACTTATCTCTCCTGCAGACCACGAGCTCTTAGAAGACTGACATGCAGTTGTATTCGTCTTTATATTCCCAGAAACTAGCCCAGGGCTTAGCACCTACTAAGTCTTCAGAATACATTACTGAACCAAACTGAATCCTGGAAATCTCTTAAAATAGTCTCTCAACAATTCTTAAGTTGGGCTATTCAGTATCTTCCCTCAAACCCCAGGAAAAAAAAAAATTGCCCCCTTTTTTTTGGGGGGGGGGCAGGTTAAAAAGTAAGCTCTATGCCCAGTGTAGGGCCCAAACTTATGACTGCAAGATTAAGACCTGAGTTGAGATCAAAAGTCAGATGCTTAACCACCTGAGCCACCCAGGTACCCCAATTAGTTGCTATTATAGAGATACTTCCCTCTATAAATGCACTCATGAATAGTTGTCAAATACCTACTCTATGCTAGGAATGAGAAATATACATCAGTGAATGAGACAAAGAGTCCCTGTCTTGCTTACAAAACTCACAGTCCAGAAAGGAACAGACATTAAACAAGTAGTTCCATATACTTATTTGTGGGTGAAGTAAATACCTTAAAAGGGACATAGAAAACAGAATAGATACATGGATAAATTTGAATAAACAATGACAGGCAATGTTGAAGAACGGAAAACACAAATTCTCAGGCAAAAATGACCAAGTGCCAAAGAGAATATCCACAGAACACTCAGTAGTGAAACTTCAAAGCCTTAAGGGCACATACACACTAATACACTGGAGAAGGAAAAGGGGGGGGGGGGGAGGCAGGGCCAGGCTGCAAAAAACACCAAGAATATATCAGTATTTGGCCTGAGTTGGCCTGAGCAACTGGAAAAATGGGAAGACTGGGGAAATTGGTGAAGGTATGTGAGGGGTAAAACTCAAAATTTCAGTTCTGGACATGTTTGAGATGCTGACTCGACACTTTAAGAGATGTCATTTGAAAGCTGAATATAAAAATCTGGTTTTGGAGGTAGAGCACTGGGTCGAAGATTGACATTTGAGAGCACAATAGATAGTATTTCTATTTAAAGCCTTGAAATAGGGACGCCTGGGTGGCTCAGCGGTTGAGCGTCTGCCTTCCGCTCATGGCGTGATCTCGGGATCCAGAACCGAGTCCTGCCTCCGGTTCCTTGCAGGAAGCCTACAAGACTCTGCCTGTCTCTACCTCTCTCTCTCTAGCACTCAAGAATAAATAAATAAAATATTTTTAAAAAGAAAATAAAGTCTTGAAATGGATAGCTCCTAGGAAGTGGACACAAAGAAGAGCTTAGGATGAGGGCGGGGCGGGGGCGGGGAGGGGGAGTATAACCGTTAAAGATAAGGACGAGGAACAAGAAATCAGCAGAGGAGAAACCAGAGAGCTGAAGCTAAAGAAGAGAATGTTTAAGAGGCCTGGGTGGCTCAGTGGCTGAGTGTCTGCCTTCGGCTCAGGTCGTGATCCCAGAGTCCTGCGATCCAGTGCCACATCAGGCTTCCCGCAGGGAGGGAGCCTGCTTCTCCCTCTGCCTAGGTCTCTGCCTCTGTGTTTCTCATGAATACATAAAATCTTAAAAAAAAAAAAAAAAAAATTGGGCAGCCCGGGTGGCTTAGCGGTTTAGCGCCGCCTTCAGCCCAGGGCGTGATCCTGGAGTCCCGGGATGGAGTCCCACATCGGGCTCCCTGCGTGGAGCCTTGCTTCTTTGCCTCTCTCTCTCTCCTCTCTGTGTATTCTCATGAATAAATAAATAAAACCTTTAAAAAAAATTGAAGAGAATGTCCTACGAATCAAACGAAGAAGTGCTTCAAGAAAGGGCAGTGATGAAGCGCATCAGCCATTGCTACAGAGGCGAGAACGAACTGAGTGAACACTAGATTTGGCGACCGAGAGATCACTGGCGGTTTCCACCAAGTGCTATTTTAGTGGAGCGCTGGGGGCCTAGGCTAGAGCGGGTTCGAAAGAGACCTGGAGATGAGGCGCCAGCTAGAGGCTGAAGCCTCACGCTGCAAACGGGCGCCGAGAGATGAGGAGGCAAGTGGAAATCTCCGGAGGGCGAATAAAGTTGTCTCGTTAGCAGGGGCTCAACCCCGCTGCCGTCTTCTCGCACCTGAGCTGAGGACTCCGCCTCCGCCGCCGCTTCTGCGCCCCGCACCGCGTACGCCCGCTTCCCCTCCAAGCCGCGCCGGCCAGCGCATGCGCAGACCCCAAAGACCGCCGCCGCAGCCCCACCCCCTCCCCGAGCCCCGCCTCTCCCCGCCCAGGGCGCGTGCGCACCGCCCCTCGAGAGTCGCCCCAGCGAGGCCCGGGAATGGGGACGTACCGAGGGCGACCCCGGCCCTCCGCTCCCGCCATTCCCCGGGGGCCCCAGACTGCGACCCATCCCCACCTGCCAAGCCACGGAATAGGCACGTCGAGCTGGAAATTACGACGGCAGCCGCGGGCGCGTCCCTCGAATGTTTTTCAAAGTCTGAGGACCGTAAAGCGCTTGCGTTCGAAGATTCGCGGCACGTCGAGAACCACACACGCTTTTTCCCTTTTATGAGCTAGTCGCAGCGCGAACCCTTCCGCGCATGCGCCGTCCTTCCTTTGTGACGTGTCGCGCTGCTCCTTGGGAAATGTAGTTTTTACTTTATCAGTCAATGCCTGATCCTCTAGGGGAACTTAAGAAACCAGAGTCCTTGTGTGTTTTCAGTATCCTCATTCCCCAAAGCCTATAAGATAATTAAAAAAAAAATTTTAACCTCAAGCTGCCCCAAAAGATATAGTCTATTTTTTTATTTTATTTTATTTTATTTTTTTAGCTCTATGGTTTTTTTAGTTTTTTTTAAGCTTTTTTTTATTGGAGTTCAATTTGCCAACATATAGCATAACACCCAGTGCTCATCCCGCCAAGTGCCCCCCTCAGTGCCCATCACCCAATCACCCCAACCCCCCGCCCACTTCCCCTTCCGCTACTCCTTGTTCATTTCTCAGAGTTAGGTGTATGTTTAATTTTTTAAAAATAAAACAGATCGGATCCCTGGGTGGCGCAGCGGTTTGGCGCCTGACTTTGGCCCGGGGTGCGATCCTGGAGACCCGGGATCGAGCCCCACGTCGGGCTCCCTTCATGGAGCCTGCTTCTCCCTCTGTCTGTGTCTCTGCCTCTCTGTCTCTCTCTGTGTGACTGTCATGAATAAATAAATAAATTTCTTAAAAAAACAAAACAGACCTGTAGACCCAAAAATTGCATTTTGAGGGAATCTTCTCAGGACCGTATTAAGGACATGAGTAAACATTAAACTACATTAGTTTACATTCTAGTAAATGTCTTATAATTTCTTACATAACCCCTATCAAAGTTTAAAATTACATTTTATATCGTTTATTTATTTTTTTAAAAAGATTTTATTTATTTATTCATGACAGCAGACACACAGAGAGAGAGGCAGAGACACAGGCAGAGGGAGAAGCAGGCTCCATGCAGGGAGCCGGACATGGGACTCGATTCCAGGTCTCCAGGGTCACATCCCAGGCCAAAGGTGGCGCTAAACCGCTAGGCCACTGGGACTGCCCTATATCGTTTATTTGATTCACTTGTCAGCTCAATAAGATTCGAATCATCTGTTTTGTTCACTGTTTTCTCATTACCCAGCACATTCCTAATACCTATGAGAGCAGATAATGGGCCGTCAACATTTTTGTATGCACTTAGAAGAATCTCAGACTTCAACACAAACTATTTCAGCCCCAAACTAACACATCAGTTTATTTTTCCCATCAAGGTTGTTTTTCTTTGTGTGGTCTCTTTGTCAATGAATGGCATGACCATCTATCCTGTCTCAGCTCTATATCCTGCATTTTATGAAGCTGATGTTGACAAGGATTTCACGAATTTTGCCTTTGTAGAGGTCTCGGGAGCTATTTCTCCTGAATGTCAAATATTGACCTTAGTTACTCCCCAGGAGAGATTTGGGGCTTGCAATTGTTTGTTTGTTCGAATTCATCTTTAATCTCTGATATTTCTACTGCTAAAGAACAAAAATTCAACTGAGTAACTTAAAAGGTCAAATTGACTCTATTGAATGATTCATGAATCAGGCAGCATCCCATCTGACAAATAGAAAGGAGCTCCACCTAGCTGCAGAAAAGGTAAGGTTTTTGAAAGCAGAAAGGAAACAAACAAACAAAAGAATATTAGCCAAGAATGCATTGTTTTAGATCAGGTCACCCCCCCCCCCTTTTTAAAGATTTTATTTATTCATGAGAGACACACACACAGAGAGGTAGAGACACCGGCAGAGGGAGAAGCAGGCTCCATGCAGGGAGCCAGACTGTGGGACTCAATCCCCGGTCTCCAGGATCACGCCCTGGGCTGAAGGTGGTGCTAAACCGATGAGCCACCTGGGCTGCCCAAGGTCACCCTCCTAAGGGGAATGAAAGGCATCTATAAGTAAATATCCGAGTGCTGACCAAGAAGTTCCATGTTGATTGGTTAAATAATAGTAACAGCTCGTATCTGTTGGCCACTTACTATGTACCAGGGACTATTAAATATGCTTGATGTGTTTCATTCATATAACATACTCCACCCAGTTGTAGAGGTTGGGTTACTCATTGCTTGCTTCATGACAGACTCTAATCAATTGGGTTCTGCACACCCTCTCTCTTGTTTTATTTATTTGTGGCTGTTATCTCTTTTCTCTATTCCTCCTCTCTTCCCCAGGGTGTGTGTCTTTGTAAAACATGTGTGTTGTCTAGTGTGCATGCATTTTTAATTCACCTAGATGGTATTGTGCTGTAAGCCTCATTCAATCTCTTATTTTTTCCCACTCTGCTCTAGGGTTTTAAGATTTGTTCTTGTTGTTGTGTGTGCCTGTTACTTAGAATAACTGTGTAGTATTTTATAATTTGGCTATGGCGGATAACATCACCACGAACAGCCTCACGCCTGTCTCTTGTGACCAATATGAGGATTTTTCTGAGGAGTATCACTACCTGGTGAGGCTGAGTAATAGCCCATTAAATTGTCCTCACCCATTCTGTCCAGAACATTCTTCTCCCCCCCCCTTTCCCTAATCTCTTCCTTTTTAAAAATTCTACTTATTCATTTGAGAGAAGAAGAGCACAAACAGGGGAGGGGCAGAGGTGGAGGGAGAGGCCGACTGAGTGTGGAGCCCCCATGCTGGGCTCAATCCCAGGATACTGGGATCATGATCTGAGATGAAGGGGGACACCTAACTGACTGAGCCATCCAGATGCCCCAAGAACACTCTTCTTAAAACAAAGATTTGCATGAGCTGGTACCTCTGCCTCCTGGCCCCACCACCTCCTCTCCCTACCATCTCCATCTCCCTCTCCCCTTCAGCCTCTTCTTTAGATCTTCCATACATGTCACATGCTTCCTCCTTCCTCTGCAAAGTCTTCCCTGGAGCACATTTCCCTCATCTGTTTATCTCCAAATCTCCTACTCATCTTCAGATCTCCCTGACTGGGTCAAATCCCTCTGCCATGATCCCTCAAAAGCACTATGTAAACCTCCTGCCACTGTAGCAGTAACAAAATGTCACGATTTTACATTTGTTTGTGGCAAAATTTATGTTTATCACTGTATCTTTAGCATGTGTGCCTGGCACATATAAAAATATTTTTTAGGGCAGCCCCGGTGGCGCAGCGGTTTGGCGCCGCCTGCAGCCCAGGGTGTGATCCTGGGGACCCGGGATGGAGTCCCACGTCGGGCCTCCTGCATGGAGCCTGCTTCTCCCTCTGCATGGAGCCTGCTTCTCCCTCTGCCTGTGTCTCTGCCTCTCTCTCGTTCTCTCTGAATAAATAAATAAATAAATCTTTAAAATAAAAAAAATATTTTTTAGATGAAAGAGAAAATAAAGGTATTCTCTCTGTTTTGGAAGAGCCATGAGGGGGGCAGCACCTTGGTGGGGTGACTGCTATAGAATTTGGTCCTCAGCTCTACAGGACCAGAAATTCCATTTTTCAAGTGGGATAGACTCATATTGATGCAACTCACAAGAGACTGATGTGTAAATCAGAACCCACTGAGTTATATGGGGAGATTTAGAACTGTGGAACTGACCAGAACACTCCCTTTCCCTGGGCAGCACAGTCCCTTCCTGTGGGAAAGCCACAGTGTGGTGAAGAAAGCTAGGTCTTTCTGGTCTATCCTTTAGTCTCATTCTATCAGAGCATCACATCTGAAATCCTTTCTAAAAAGCCTTGCAAAGTCACAAGGATCTTTTTTTAAAAAAAAGATCTTCTTTATTCATGAGAGAGAGAGAGAGGCAGAGACACAGACGCAGACACAGACAGAGGGAGAAGCAGGCTCCCTGCAAGGAGCCTGATGTGGGACCCGATCCTGGATTCCAGGATCACACCCTGAGCCGAAGGCAGACACTGAACTGCTGAGCCACCCAGGCGTCCTGAAAAGTCACAGGGATCTTGACTGAAGGTCTCTTGAGGGTATGCAGAGGGAGTTACATAGTAGGACTTCCTAACAATCCCTTTACAAATCCCTCCCATCACAGAGTTCCACTGCTGAGGGCAATGCTCACATCTCTGCTCTCTGGTTTCTCCCCACTCAGAACGGGCTTTTTGCATAGGGGCTTCAGGCATCTTTTATGGAAAGCCAGCTACCCCTCTCTCAGATTGTCCCTGTTCATGCCTACCCAACACCACTTGAACAACAACAACAACAACAAAAAAGACTTGAAACTCACATCCATCTTGTTAGTTCTGATAATAGAACTAACTAGAGGCCATATCATTCCCAGGCACAGCTCGACTGGCCAGGGAACATACAGACCCAGACCCAAGGGATAGGAATGCTTGCTTACCATTCAAAGGAACGCAATGGAATTCAACCCAAATAGCTTACACACATACACACATACAGGCAGCTAACGGGCACTATCCTGGACACATAAGCACCAGATACACCCTATGAAATCTTTAACATAAAGAAAAAAGATATTTTTTAGATTCCAAGTCTCACAAAAGATGAAACAAACAGACCTCCCTGGCACCAGGCAAAGAAGCACCAGAAGCAATTAAGTAACATCCACTAACGTGACTTCATGGGCCTCCAATTAACAGCATCCACCTTCTGGGAAGACCCACCACCATGACCACCCCCTGCCCCAAATTTTGCCCTTAAAAATCCTCGCTTGTAAGCCATGGGGGAGTTTGGGACTTTTGAGCATTAGCTCCCTGAATGGTACCACACCAATAAATAGCCTATCTTCCTTCACTGCAAAAGTTTGATGTCAGTTTTTATTGGATTGATGTGCATGGGGTGAATGAACTCTCATTTGGTTTGCTTACAGGCACTTCAGTTGGATCTGAATGGCAGGCAGGTGGGGCAAGTTGTAACTGTTCTTGCTTACTGCTTTTTGTCCCCAACACATACAAAAGAAGCCATAGCATGACCAGAAGGTGGCATAGTGTGTATGGAACCCAAGGGAGAAAGGGAATACAATACTTTAACTCTTAAAAATTGCCTTAATCCCCCTTGCTTCTATTTTATTTATTTTTTTATTTATTTATGATAGTCA